TTTTTATTTTGGAGAACTTTGAATTTTTCGGTCGGGTTTCGCATCGGTTGGCTAGGCCGTGGTTAAGGCAAAAACCATGGGTTCTTGACTAACCACCCACCCAGCGATGGGAAGATCTTCCCATCGATGGGTAAGCGGCCCCTCAGCCAAACCAGTTTCCAGAACCATGCCAAACAGCGATGGGGAGTTCTACCCATCGCTGTTAAAGCCTTGGTGCAATATTAACACAAGGCAGAACGACCTTGCCCAGCGATGGGAAACCTATCCCATCGATGGGAACCCAGCGATGGTAAGGGTATACCATCGATGGGAAGGCATGACCGTTGGTGGTCATTAAAGGTTGATTCTTTCCTTGTTTGGAAGTCAACCTCCCACCCATCGATGGGAAGCTTGTACCCATCGATGGGTAGGTAACCGTTGACTTCAAAACTGAAGGAAAATTGGCTTACCAGCGATGGTTGAGTCTAAACATCGATGGGAAGCCAATATTCTGCAGATCCCAAATCTTTTCAATCCCATAAATCAAGCCAATCACCCCTTTAATGCATTGGTCCGTTGGAGCCATCTTTGGCACTATAAAAAGGGGTGTTTGGGTCTGCTTTTCTCACCAATTCACTTCACAACATCTATACTTTCATTGCATTCAAATATCATCATTTTCTATAGCTTTCTAGAGCCATTTTTGTGTGAAGGTTGAGTTGTTCTTGAGCGTACTCGATTTACTCATAATCTACTCTATAAGAGAGTCTCGTTCTTGAGTGTACTTGTGTTCTTAGACACGTTGAGAGATAGTATCTCTCTCGGTTGATTCAAAGGAAGGTTTGTTTCCTTTGAAGGATTCGTTGAGGTTCGTGTGACTCGAACTCTCAAGGTGTAACGGTTTGTTAAGCACCCGTAAGCTTAACGAGTTAGTAGTGTAGCTCGAGAGAGTCTCTCGGGAGGCTGGATTAGCCACAAGTTGTGGTGAACCAGGGTAAAATTCGGTGTGCCTTTTACTCTTCTCTTTACTTCTCTCTTAGTTTTTTAATTCCTGCGATTTCTCCGATCAAACGCTATTCACCCCCCCTCTAGCGTTGGTCTGTTATTCTAACAATATCTTGGAGAATGGATTTCAAAGAGGAAAGGTAGACACCACACTCTTCATTAAGCATAATGCTCTTGACATGCTTTTAGTACAAATATATGTTGATGACATTATTTTTGGTGCTACTAATGATCTTATGTGTGAGGAATTTACTAAGATTATGCAAGGGGAGTTCGAAATGTCAATGATGGGAGAACTAAATTTCTTTCTCGGTCTTCAAATTCGACAACTTGAACATGGGACATTTCTTAGTCAAACGAAGTACTCAAAAGAACTTCTCAAGAAATTTGAGATGGAAGATTGTAAAGAAATGGCTACCCCAATGAGTTCTCAATGCTCACTTGATAAAGATGAAAGTGGTAAGTCGGTTGATGTGAAACGGTATCGAGGTATGATAGGTTCTTTAC